TTGAGGAGAAGTCACAATTCAAAATAGGAATCATTTGTGATGAGAGAAAAACAGCAGTAGCAAGGGCGGCAACGACGACAGCAGCAGCAGCAGCAGCAGCAACTACAACAGCAGCAGCAGCAACGACAACAGCAACAACAGATGCAAAAACCATGCAGCAGCAACAGTAGCAACAGCAAAAACAACAACAGCAACAGTAGTAACAACAGTAGCAGCAAAAATAACAACAATATTAAAAAGAAACAATAATAAAGAAAAGTAATAAAACCCTACCTGGTCCGTTACAGACATTCTCTTTGCTTGATCCGCATCCCTACCATCGAGTTTTGCTTTTACTTTCCTCCACACACTAATGGCATATGTGTTATGCTGCTGTAGAGCTGTTATCAGATATCAAGCTATTAATATACATCATACTAAACCATAGATAATATACATCATACTGAACCATAGATAATATACATCATACTAAACCATAGATAATATACATCATACTGAACCATAGATAATATACATCATACTAAACCACAGATAATATACATCATACTAAACCATAAATAGTAGAGGGAGACTGATTTGTTTTTCTTCGTGTACGATAGCGCTGCTGTGCTAGATATTTGAATCAACGAAGAACAACAAAACTTCAGATTGAAATTTAGACTGACATGAGCACTTTACCTTTGCCAGTTTTTGGATCTCTGGCGAGGAAAGCTGAGGAAGACTTTCTTGGACTTGCAACTGAATATACAATAAAACAAACGTACTGATTACAAATGGTGTATTCCTGGAGTTGTGGTAGCTTTTATCATATGACCTACCTGTAGCAGGTCGTGTGGTAGGTGAACCTCCACCTGATGGACTTTGTRCCCCATGATCTTTGTGTAGAATGACTGGGTTTGTTGGAGGACAGTAACTTGATGATGTTTCTGGGATGTCTTTGGTCATGGTAGTGCTACCCTTCTGTAATGCTGACCACACAATTTCATGTCATTAATTACCTACATTTAAATGTTGTCTATGTGTCTGTCTGTCTGTCGCTGTGTGTGTGTCTATCTTTGTTTGGGTACCTGATGCAAAGGTAGGTGGTGGTGCCGCGATGGGTGTCTTCCCTCCATTAGATCCCGAGTCCTCAGGCATCAGAGGAGACGCCAGGGCTAACAAATCATCATGTACCCTGTAAGACAATTGAATCAGTATTAAAACTTATAAGTATTCAACTACTGTATTAACGTGTTTTGAACCACGAATGGCTTACGTGTGATTGGTTCAGAGCGGAAGCCATTTCACAGTCAACCTACTACAAATGATTTCCGTGTGCTTTCCCACTCTACTGCAACAAGTCAGTTGTCTGTACTTACCAGTGAATCAAAGACGTGATAGACGTGATTATAGCTTGTCTGTACTTACCAGTGAATCAAAGACGTGAT